AAGCGCCGGTCCCCCCGGCTCACGGGAACCGGACAAGGTTCGGCATCCTCCAGTCGTTGCTCCCTCCCGGAACCGCCCCTCTGAAACTGTTGTTCGTCCGGGTTCTCTGGACCTTGGCCCTGCAGGGCGCGCCGCCAGGTCGGCGTCTGCACAGCGGACGGGAAAACTGCTCCCGCTGTCGACTCCGCCCCACTCACCGGGAGGGTCAATGGGTCCGCCTCCCATCCCTCCACCTGGGGACGGGGTTTCGGGTCGGCCTACCCTGCCGTCCCCGGTGGCGGGTCGTGCAACAAAGCTTGCCCCTCCTTGGCCGACGTCGCCTACGGAGGGTGGAAGTCCCAAAGCCCGGCCAAGGGTCCGGCTTACCTCCACTGAAGTAGAGCGTCGCCAGGGAGATTTGTTTAGTGCAAAGCCCTAGGTGAACGCTTAAAGCAGATGCAAGCTGTACCGATGGATCTTAACCGTACACCCCACATACAAGCATACCTAACATGCCAGTGACGTTTTTACAATGGAACATGCGTGGCTTGAGGGCCAACATTTCGGGCCTACACACACTCTTATCTTATCGTAACCCGGTTGTGGCATGCTTACAAGAAACAAAGGTATCTGATGACACCCAAATTAACGTCAAATGTTACAGCATCTTTCGGAAAGACGTGAGAACTGACACGATCGCCCATGGTGGGGTGGCGGTTTTGGGTCATCACAGTATACCGTGCTCTCCTGTAAGTCTTAACACTGACCTTCAAGCTGTTGCTGTCGTCGTCGACCTCGGGTCGCTGAGGCTGACTGTCTGTTCTATCTACCTCCCTCCTGCTGAGGAAGTACCGGATTCGACACTACAGTCCATCTTCGATCAGCTTCCATCGCCGTTCTTGTTGCTAGGTGACTTCAACTCCAATAGCCCTTTGTGGGGCTGCAGTCACACAAGCCGCCGAGGCCGACATCTTGAGCGTTTGCTGAATACAAATAATCTTTGTGTTGTTAACACCGGCTGGCATACCCATATATCTCTGCCGTCCAGCACTACTTCAGCGATAGATCTTTCTATCTGCTCCTCGTCCCTTTTCTGTCGGTTGTCTTGGTTCGTTGAGAGCACTACATATGGGAGCGACCATTTCCCAATATGGCTTGGGATGAATGCTGGACACCCAGGCAGGAGGCCTTCCCGCTGAAACCTTCGACGTGCTAACTGGCAAAAGTTTACTGATGAGTGCCATATTAGAGTGCAGCCGACCGAGGACGACAATGCAACGTCTCTTGCACAACAAGTGACATCCACAATTGTCGGCACTGCAAGGTCTTGCATTCCCTTGACATCACCTGGGCCGCGCAGGATCCCTGTTCCCTGGTGGTCAGAGGACTGCAAGGCGGCAATTCTCAAGCGGAAGCGGGCGTTCAGGGTTTTAAGCGTTCTGCAACGACCAACAACCTCATCGCTTTTAAAAAGGCCAGAGCATTTGCGAAACGCACAATACGTGAGGCAAAGCGTACATCATGGAGGGAATATGTAAATGGTTTAAATCGTTACACCCCACTGAGTGCAGTGTGGCAGCGAGTTAGTCGCATTTCCGGTAGGAGCGTCTCCACTGCAGTTCCGGTGTTGAAAGTGGCGGGAATCACGATATTGAACACACAGGAAGTTTCCAACAAAATAGGTCTCGCATTTGCAGAAAGGTGCCGACATGGAACAGACGACCCACGCTTTATTCGTTACAAGGGACGAAGTGAGAAGACGGCAATCAATTTTAGAATTCCTGACTCAGAGATTTATGAGTACAACCAACCGTTCACTGTCATGGAGCTCTGCACTTGCTCTTAAGAGAGCTAAGAGTGTGTCGCCTGGATTGGATAAAGTCCACAATGATATGTTGAATCGCCTAAAGAAGGAGTCCCTCCATGCCTTACTCTCACTTCTCCAACTACATATGGTTGCAAGATGACTTCCCGGAGTCGTGGCGGGATGCCATTATAGTCCCGATACAGAAGCCCGGAAAGGATGGTTCCGACCCACTGCACTACCGCCCAATTGCGCTAACTTAAGCCATATGCAAAGTGCTAGAGAGGATGGTGAATTATCGTCTCATGTGGTACCTTGAAACTCACGGCTGTCTTTCCAAAGTGCAATGCGGGTTTCGAAAGAACCGATGCACTGTTGACCACTTAACGATCTCAGACACAGTTATACGACATTCTTTTAAACAAAGACGTCACACGATAGCAGTCTTCTTTGATATTGAGCGGGCTTATGATACCACCTGGCGCTGTGACATTCTAAGTAAAGTACACAAGTGTGGACTCCGAGGTCACATGGCACTCTCCATTGAAAAATTTTTACGTCGTCGATCTTTCCGCGTCCGAGTGGGTGGCATGCTATCTGATCGCTATGAACAAGAGAACGGTGTTCCTCAAGGGAGCCTCCTTAGCGTAACCCTGTTTGCGCTGATGATCGATGATATCGCCGATTGTCTGCCACCCACCATCAGTCGGTCACTGTTTGTGGACGACTTTGCCATCTGGTGTGCGGCATCCACAACGACGTCTGCTGAGAGGCAGCTTCAGTTATGCCTGATTCGACTAACTGAGTGGAGCCTTGAGAATGGCTTCAAATTTTCGACCACCAAGACTAAGTGTATGCACTTCTGCTCACGGATTAGAGGCTGTAGAGACCCGGAGCTGCGACTGTATAATGCTACTGTCCCAGTTTGTAACGACATTTGTTTCCTGGGCCTCACGTTTGACCGTCGGCCCACGTTTAAGCAACACTTTAAGATGGTTAAGACTAAGTGTCTCAAGCGCATGAACCTCATGAAAGTAATGTGTCGTATGACCTTTGGAGCCGACAGAAGCACCCTGTTGAGCCTGTATAGAGCCTTAATTCGATCAGTCATCGATTATGCTAGTCCTGTGTACGATAGTGCTCCTACATCTTCAAAGCAGGTTTTGGACACAATCCACCATACATGTGTTCGTATAGCCACTGGGGCGTTTCGTACGACCCGAACAAGAAACTTGCTGGTGGAAGCGAATGAACCGCCCTGGCCTCTTAGGAGACAACGACTTACTTTGAATTACGCTATAAAGGTTTCACAATTTCCGGATCACCCAGCCTTTAAGTTCATCTTCTCTCAGACGTTAATCCGTTCTTTCTTGAGGGGGCGACCCACGTCATCGCGGCCGATGTGCCTGCGCGTCCGGGACTGGCTAGACGAGTCGCTTATTACGCTGGATGACATTGCCCCGCACACTCTGCGGGACCCAGCTCCGTGGAGACATCTGAGTATTAAGTATGATTTGGAACTCAGCATCTCAGCTGTCAGTCAGCATCTTAAAAATGGCACTACACCACGAGAGTTCCTCACGCATTCGTTGGAACAGATCTCACAATACGCGAACTCATTACAAATATTTACCGATGGGTCCAAGGGCTCAACAGGAACGGGTTGCGCATTTGTTTGCGGTGACCATACCGTAGGTCTATGCCTCCCGCAGCACCTGTCAGTTTTTTCCTCAGAGCTGTTTGCTATTTTAGCAGCGCTTCAGTACGTTGCTTGTCGTCCTGAAAGGGATGTAGTCATTTTGACCGACTCACGTAGTGCACTTTTATCATTAGACCCGACGGCGTTGTTACGTGACCACTCATTTTTGACGCGCTCAATTTGGGAGGAACTGGAATGGCTGGACAACACCTCCTGCCGTATCACATTTATGTGGATCCCCAGCCACATAGGAATAATGGGAAATGAAAAAGCCGACGCCGCAGCGAAAGCTGCGGCGTGTGAGAGAAACCCAATACCAATTTATGTACCCGCTCGAGATCTGAAGACAGTCATTTCCAAATACGTCCGCAATACGTGGCAGCACATGTTCGACCAACATGTTCACGCTTTCAGGGAAATCAAGCTCCAACTGGGTGATTGGGAATCCTCCCATCGCCGAAGCCGCTTCCAGGAAGTCGCCCTTTGTAGGCTTCGGTTGGGTCATACATATGCAACACACTCGTTTTACTTGACGCGTAGGGATGTGCCACGGTGTGATAGATGCGGGGACCGGTTGTCTGTTGAGCATGTGCTCGTCTCATGCCGGCGCCTTAAGACGGAGAGGCGACGATTTTTTCCTCCTGCGCCCCTTCATCGGTTACTCGGTCGAGACCCATGTGGTGATCTTGGAGATATACTCGCATTTTTAGCACACATTGACTTGACGTTATTTTCACTCACCCCTCAGTGTAAGTGCGCCAGTGATACTACCTGCTATTAGCTGACAACATACTTACCGCGTCGTCGCAGAGGTAGATAACCGTCATCGAGTGGGCGCAAAATGGCCCTGATGCCGACGCGCCCTTAAAAACCAAATCACCACTACCACCGGCCATTAAAAGCAGATTTCGAGTGGCCCTTCGGCGGGTCCTTACCTAAGGGGGGGGGGACATGCCCCCTGTGCCCCCTGTCTCCGCTGCTGGACTTCAGGGAGAAGTAAAGTGCTGTTACAAAGCGTTGACAGCGTAATTTGGACTTGAAAATAATTAATTTTGATGTACCTGTGATGCCTTCCCTGTAACTTTTGACTTGGTCACCCTATACTTTCAAAAGATGCCGCATATTGCATTCAAATGCTCTCAATCCCACTTCAGGTGTCATTTGTTAAAGTATATAAAGTGACGACCCTGCTCGCTGTTCTATATGGAGGGATCCGGTTCCTTTGTGTTCATTTCAGCGCCCACCTGTGCTGCTTATGCTACTTAGCCGAGAAAAAAATATTTTCGAACTTAATAGGGCAAAATTGCAGCGTCTTTTCTTGGTCTCTATGGTGCCAGCCGTCATTCTAATGCGCTGCAATACTTTGGGGAAGTTTTAGATTGAGAGAAGTCAATGTGGGTCAAATGGCGACCCCGCCGATGAGTCGACTACGATGAGGGCAGTGAATTAGAACTCTGCTGGTCGGAACGGATTGCGGAGTGCAATGTGCGTCACGAAAGCTGTCTTAGCTGCCTCGCGAGTGGAGGTCGCGGTGTGTGGTGGGCTGCGGCCTGTTAATGCCGTTTTATTCTATGAAAATTCGACATATGGTGGTTGTTCTTATCCTTAGGCCGCAAAATATAAGTTTAAGACGTTTATACGGAGCTTCCGCTAGATAAAGGGCTATAAATCACTCGGGTGTGGCGGACGTCGAGAACCATAGTCGCCGCAATTGGGGATCCACCATGTCTTCTGTACATTTTTTCCTCCAGCCATTACCGGGAACGGATGAGCAGATGAATGACAGGTGAGTAAGAGTGTGAGTGGGAGGATGCCATAGTAGTTTTGTTTAAGTAAAAATACTTGAAATGTCATAAAATCTGACCGGGTGCTTCAGCAATATGTGTATACAACTTTTTAGTGTATGCTCACATGCTGTCTCCTCCAATCCTGCGAGACTTCCAGGGTGGTATTTTAGAAAAGGTGCTCTGGCTTATGTAAGTTTTTCCAAGAATGATTAATTGTAAAGGTACACATTTCACTTGAATCTTCTATGCAGCTTTCCATAACAGCCTTTTTGTAAATGTTAAATGAATTGGACCAACCTAGTAATTATTTTTGAGGTCATTGCCAGATATAAACTGGGGCATTCTTACTATCATTGTGAAACAATTTCATCTGCCAGATTGAAACATTCTTAAATTTCTGCATTCTTAAATTTGTTTTCTCCACATTCCATTTCCTAGCTGTCTTCATGTCTGCTGCACACTGCTTGTCCTGCCAAGTTTTAATATTGCCATGGTTTGTAGGTGGGAAGGCAGACAATCAGAGTGTAAGCAATGTATGCCATGCTGTACATGTCAGGAACAGCAGTGATATTGCTGCAATAAATTCAGTGCACACAGACCAGTATTTGAGCACTCTGAGTCAAGTGTGTGGTCACCACTGACTTCAGCACATAGAGGAGAATGGTGTTCTATGCAGTAGATGCTTCTTCTGCGGAATGGGGCAATTAGTTGGCTTCATTGTATTTCTGCTGTTGAAAGCATTCAGGGAAATTTTCTAGAAAATTTATCTTAGTTTCTGGGAATAGAACAAAATCCAAAAAGTATAAATTAGAAGGGTTATAAACATCTATTATCTGTACACCAAGGTTATGACATCTGTGATTTCATCTGCATGGCAAACTGGCAATTTGGTTGGCAGCACTAACATTAAACAACTGCTGTAGGAAAGTGTTTACAGCTCAGTTGTTTGCATCATTATAATGAGACTTTCACCATTCATGCATATTGTATCTTGCAGTGGTTCAGCACAAAATCAGTTTAATTTTTTAGCTATCAGTTAGTTTTGGACCTGGTCAATTTCACATGAGGCAGCAGAGCAAAATGTCAACTTTAAAGTCAGACTGTGAGTTGTAAAATTGGTCAGAACACAGATTCATATGCTGAAAGAGGGTTTGTTTTCTAAAAACTATTTGTTTAAATTTTTTATATAAATATATAATATATATATATACAAAATATATATATATATAAATATAATATATATATATATATATATATATGTATATATATATATATATAATATAAATAAATAGCAAAGTACCACACCATTGGTACCACATGCCAGGTACTACATAATGGCATCTGGTGGCATTATGGTGACATAAAGAATCATAGCAGTGAGGGTGCAGCTTTCTATTCATTTGGGGTAGGGCAGCTTCATATCCTTCCCCACTTCCATCACCTAATTTTGGGCTCCAGACCTCAAATTATGAGAAGAATGTAGGAAAATCTGGGGAGAGAGCTGTAATGGGACAGTTTGAGTCATAGTTTGCTGTTCAGTCCCTTTCCCAAGCTCATTTTGCAAAACTACAACACTATCACAGTGTAGGAGTAGTTATATTTCTGTTATTCAGCATATGTTGGCATGGTGGGTCATTATTGAAGTCATCATTTTGCCTAGACAAGAGTGTCTGCAGTTGGGTTGAGCCTTTGTTGGTGGGGTTCAAGTCTAGGTGCTGGCTATTTGGCCTTGACAATGGCCTGGGGCTGGTGGCGGTGGCGGCACTAAAAATAAGGGCACACCAGAGAGCATTTCAGAATAAGCTGAACAATAAAGTATGTTCAACTTTCACCAAATTCTGCTGTTGACCTGGATTCACATGATAAAATGGTAGGGGCCATGGCTCACATGGCAAGTGCTGCTAAGCATGAGCTTTGGTTTCAGAAATCCATTTGTTTAACTGGCTTGGAAAAATCATTTAAAATGGAAATAATAATGTAAGAATGTGTGGTGGGATGTTAACATTATAATATATTTCTGTATATATATATATATATATATATATATATATATATATATATATATATATATATATAAATGAACATCTTACCCAGAGTAACCCATATGGATATGATTTTCTGCATCAGCCAACATTTTGGGAACAGGTTCTAAAATATCTTTCTGAGAAATTTGAGAACTGTCCCTTTTTGATGATGTTCCATCTGTCAACACAATAGGTATGGTTATGACCATTAAGGCTGCAAGTGGGACAAATCACAAGTGCTGATTGCAGTCCCACTCAGCCTTGCCCAACAAAGAGTGTAGCTTGTAAAAATGTATCTTTTTGAGATAGCCCGTTCAATCAGTTTCATCATGCATGAATTCCCTGTAATTTGGCTATGTGGATGAAATACAGCCATCTCATTTTGGTTGACATTGGACAAATATTCCAGACATAACAGTGTATATTGTTGTGTCATAACCAGGCCAGATCTTGCAGGCCAAGGGATTCAATGGTAAAAGACTAACATATTTGTGTGGATGACAGATGGCCTTCACATTGGCAAAATTTTGAACATGTGCACATTGTTGGCCATACAAATTTAAGTGCAAACTGTGCATCTGTGTGATCTTGTCCTTTATTGAGGACTATCATCATCTGCAACTAGGAAAGGCAAAAGACATAAAACCAACTGCTTGGTATGGGGGTGTGTGTGTGATATAGTGTATGCAGCAAATGGTGAATGTGGTGAAATAACTAAATCCTTGTAACACTTTATGTGTTGTGTGTCACTAATCTAACAGGAAGTAAGTAACCAATGGCACACCGTTGAATGTTGTCAAGAACAAAATATGCTCTAACCTAAATAAAGAGGAATTCCACCATGCAATGAACATTACAGTGAAGCATGCTTTCATCCTAAAACTTTTTGTTCAAGATGGCAGCTTTGAACCACACAACACAGAATATAATGCAAATTTAAAAAATAAAACAAGAAGCATTCACTTAAAATATCAATGCCTTCAAAGTAAACTTATTGTGATATTACACTGCCGATGATATTCTACAGAGTAAAGGGGCACTGCCGAGGCATGGAGGTCGAACGGCGTAAAAGTTGAACTTTATGCTGTCGCGTGACTATAAAAATAGCCGGTAATTGCTAATTGTCACTGCCTAGAATGTAAAATGGTTCATTTATGAGATGGTTACCACATGAATTGGACATCTATGGCTTATTGAAGGGTCTGATGATGGACAATAAATATGGGCTCTAATGGACTATTAGAAGATTGGGTGAGTGTATAGACTTGGGGATTGTGGTAGGACGAGAGTAGATGTAGGAGGAAGATTAGAGATGTTTGGGCTGAGGATGTTGGTATGCTCAGGACTGACTGAGTTCGTTTCGACTCTGTATGGCTCGATTTGGTCGGGTTCAGTTCTGATCTGGTGCAGTTTACTTATCCACACGCTAAACGTGAAGTACGAATGTCGCATTTTTAGGCTCATTTATTCTCTACTCCCCTCCTGTTTCTTGTTACTCGCTCGTGTGTGTACATCTATGTTTTCATGTTCCGCTTCGTTACACATCATCTCAGCACATGTACCGTTGGCTAGGGAACTGCTGTCGATTGGTCTCCCAGCGATCGTCGTCTTTATGTAGTGTTAGCGCGGTGCCGTGCGACGATGACCGCGATTTATGGTGTCTGATCAGCGCGCGTTGCAAGTGTTGCCTTGTACTTATGAAACAATTTGGGATAAGTGCTGTCACATTAAAGTCAGGACAACATTGTAAGTGTCTTTGAAAAATATCGTTTTTTATTATGTGACTGTTATGTATAACTTCCAATGCAGATCAGCACCAAAAACGACACTTGCTGCTAACTCGCCGATCTCATTAGTTGCCAGGTCTTGCCACATCCGCTTTCATTCAGCTGTCGGGTGTCGTGGTCTGCTCATTAAGCGTGTACTATAGATTAATGCCATAAAATGCGAACTCTCCACTGCATTGATTAGTTGTGTTTGTATTGGTTCCCTAGGGTCTCGGGGGACCATGACTGAGGGATGCGTTCGATTAGTACGGGGTGCCATAGCATCGGCGTAAGGTTATGTAACGTGGATTGTCGGTCGGGTTGCTAAATAAGCGCAAAGTTTGCGATAAGGTGCTTGCCTGCTGTTAGTTGTGGGAAGGGAACCATCAAAACGTCAAAGATCGTAACGTTCAATGTTCATATTGTCCCAAAGTGCAATATCCAGCGTTCATAACATACGAAATGCGTCCACTATTGCCAACGTTGGCGGGGTTAACACCATTCAGACGCGCAACGTCAAGTCATAACATCCAGCGACCACATCCAATTTATCAGTTTTGATTCCAGCCGTTAGATGTCATCACAGTGCCATTTTTCGAGTTTCTGGCACTAGATGGCATAACAATACCATCCTTCCCTCTTTTGACAGCAGATGCCTGAGTCAATATGGCGTTGAACTCATGGTCACGTGTTAGGTACAGTGAAAGGTCGTTAGCACAAATCACCTAGTGCCTGGTGACTGGCAGTCATGTATTCATTTCCAGTAAGGTTCCGAACCATTAGGGAATCTATGTGCCACGAGCATCAATGCATTCATAATGCTGCGTCACGCCTCAGACGCACCATGCTAGGAAATTGTCTAAATCAACTCCATCGTTGTCGCTTCGACGGCGGGACCCGAACCGGAATAGCTCGGCGGCAGAGCCACAGGTCGAAACAACCCTTGGCACCTATCGCTGCTCGGTATATAATCATTCAACGCGGCGGACCATTGGCTTCATGTGTGCATAACTACGTTTCCCTATCTAATAAAATGTACATCGATGTTGGTCTACCCTTTAAACATATCGATGTTGGTCTGCCCTTTGGCGTATGTGCCGAATCGCGTCAATTAACATTCATTTCTCTTAGTGTCTGCGACGTGGCTGCCCGCTCTGACCGTACCTAATCGTCGTCCGACACTGCAATCCTTGCTGGGGGCGGAGGAGGTTATGGTGAATGCTGCGGTGTGCCAGCGGTGGTGAAGGCTGTGCTCTTGGAAACGACGCAAACTCGCAAGGCTTTCATGAATTGAGAGGGGTGATCGTAAGGCATGGAAATCATAGGCCACACAATATCGTGGTCAGGTATGCTCGGGTGTACCAAGGCGCCTGCAAGATACCGGCGGTACACATCTGTCAACTCCCAAGCACTTGCACTAGCAGTTCACTGGTATTGTCATAGCTGCTAAACCAATGTCTGTCTGGCAACGTCTGTCTGGCAACGTCTATCCGGCTGACGACGGTGGTACGTTTGAACACTCACCATAATACACGTGCGCGATTCGGTCCTCTATCCAGTTCATTGTCCGTCACATTTCATCACCCAATACACAAAAATATCGATATGAAATTGACATATGAACAGACATGGACATCAAACAACAACAATTAAATTACCCCACAGGTGTGCCGTCCTAAGCTCTCAAAAGTCTCAGCCTATTCCACTACCGCGACCTTTAAAACATGCCTCGTCATGGAGCCCACGTGCGGATTTCTCACAGATGAGATGTTTTTCCATTAGTTGTTGACTTAACGAACATTGCAATATATATAGTGGTTTAATTGGTCAGCGCTGTGCCGCATGGCGTCACTCGTCGGCGTGAGGGGGCCAATTCGGCCACGGTATCCCTCCAGTGCATAATATTCTAACCAAAAGTTGAAGATTTGCCAGGAGTTGGCACCGTTTCCCCAACTTTTGGACGTCGTGAACGCTGGATGTTGTGACTGGATGTCGCGAGTTTGGATGCTGTGAGCGAGGCTGTTTGACTTTCCCCTGTCCAAAAAGATGGAAGATTTTGGACGTTATGCACGCTGGACGTCCTGACCATTGGACGTTATGTGTTGTGCATGTGCATCTCTTGGAAGCGTTTTGTGATTATCGCCTTTGAGCATATTTGACGCTACCACCCCACTTCCGTTCGCTGATAATGTTTGTTGTTTTGTAGCGTCGTGTAAAATTATGGTCAAGTGTCATAAAGTCTGTTCAGCCATCAAACGCTATACTAGCGGTTGTCTCTAATGGGGTGCTGGGGTCAGATACGCATGTCACGTCGTGTCCACTTGGTTGTCGTGACGGCGGACTGCGGCCCGTGATCGGTGTCGTGACCCGCGCCTCACCGGTGACGGGCGTGTCGACGATGGCAGGCTACGCGAGCTGGCCGAGCGCATCAACCGGTACGGCCAGCGGTCGCCGGCGCCGCTGGGCCAGCTGCGCGTGGCCGTGCGCCAGGCGGCCGTCGGGCCGGGCCACGTGGCGCTGCTGCTGGAGGACGGCCGCGTCTGCCGGCTCGCCTTCTCCGTCATCACGGAACGGCTCGACCTCAGCAAACAGGACGCCGGCTTCAAGGCGCTCTTCAAGGTCAGAGCCGACCGCGGCCACCGTCTCGAGCGCCGTTGGCACGCGGGCCGCCGACAGTCGGCACCCACTGACGGCCGGGCATCAGCCATGCACAGCCTGGACGCGCATTTGATGCGCAGGGGCCAGTCACATGCACACTATATCGCCGCTGTGTCACGTTTGGTTTATGATAGCAGCTATCTGTCGGATTGTCCGACATATGAGAGCAAGCGGCAGTCGTTAGCCCCATCTGGGGCGTGGGTCGGACAATTAACCACCTCTTGGACCAAATAAAATTATTGCTGGCTGTCATTTCAAACTCATGTGTTGTGTGTTATCGCTGTGCTTAAAACGTGTGATGTGGTAATGCTTGCTTCTGAGTGAACGGCGTCTTGCCTCAGTGTGGATGGCATCCGACTGCGCCCCCGCTGTCATCACTGCTGTGTTCTTGTCTCGCTGTGCCGGCCCTGCGGCGACGCCGGCCTGACGGTGTTCTGGTGTGCTGACCGCCGCACCCCCGCCAGGTGTCGTCGGCGCCATCCGGCGGCGGTGCGGGAGCGGCGGCAGCCGGAGGGGCCGGCGGCGGTGGTGCGGGCGGCGGCGGCGGCGGAGGTGGGGGCGGCGGTGGCGGCGGCGGAGGCGGCGGCGGCAAGCAGACCCAGCGCGCCCGCGGCCGTATCCTGCGCACCAGCTCCTCCAGCGGCGCCCGAGGTCGGTAACGAGCGCGGCTCCGTCTCCCCGACCTGCGCACGCGAGCAGGCCAGCGTGCTGCGCCCACTTTGTCGGTGAACACGGCAGCACTTCGCGACTCTTGTGTGCAGTGGGTTGTATGCGTGACACGGAATACGTGCGACCAGGCGCGCACTAAGAGAGATGCCTGAGAGCCGATGGCTGCTGCCGGAAGGCCGCCAGCCTGAGTGCGGGATGGCGTGCTGTGCGCTGGCGGCGCCGGCCCCCCCCCCCCCCCCGCCGGCGCCGACGCGCAGCTGACCCGACGGCCGTGTCCGCCGCCAGGTCGCGGCACGGGCGTCATCAGTGTGGCCGGCGCGCGGCCCGTGGTACCCGCCTCCTACGTGCCCGAGGACCTGGTGGCGCAGGCGCAGATGGTGCTGCAGGGCAAGTCGCGCAACCTCATCATCCGCGAGCTGCAGGTGAGGCGGCGGGCGGCGGTTTCGGTGTGCATGCCATGAGGCTTCTTCAGAAATATGTTTGTATGGAATTTGCGAATTTGCGTCATATTTCGGTTTCTTAGGTGATATGCGTGACAAGCCCCGACTTCCCCCCCGCCCCCCACGCACGCGCTGCGTGAATTTGTGGAGCCTGAGAAGTGATCTACTATAAGTTCACACACGCACGGTATGATTTTGTGAAGCCAGACTACATCCGAAGGATCGTGAACATCGTTAAATACCCTATGTTGCAGAGGACCAATTTGGACGTCAATTTGGCGGTCAACAACCTGCTCTCCCGCGACGACGACGAGGGCGATGACGGCGAGGAGGGTCAGGTCAGTGGCGGCGCTGTGCGGGCCGCCCGCCCCAGCAGAGGCAGTACACCCCGGCATCGTGCTGTTTTGCTGGGATGTTGCTGAGTGACAGTCATTGCATGCTGATTTGCGAAGGGGCGGTAGTATGATTGCTGTTCCCACAAATGGGAAGCCGCTCAGCGATAACCATGCGGTATGCTTTTATGATTATTTAGGCCTTAAGTGATTGCCATTGACTGAGCGATTAATGGAAATTGAGACAGATGCTTGTATGGCCAGATACTGGAAGGTTTCGGTTTAACGTGCCATTGGTTCTATGTTACGTCAAAAGTTGAGTGGATGTCAGTTAATTTAAAAGCTCATCTAGCCTCTGATATCCCTCATATCTGCCAAACGTAATCGAATACATTCTGAGCATTCTGGACGCCTTCAGCTAATGAGATCGACAGAACGCACGACAGATCTTGCACCTCTTGCCCCAAACGAGTGGCGAGTGGCTCTGTGTGCCGGTCAGGCTCCCCGAACCGCGCGCCCCGCCGTCAGGACTCGTACGTGCCCGACGACCTGATGTCGCTGCTGGACGCCGGCATCAACGCCGACCACCCGTCCGTCATCATCGACGCCGACACCATGTTCAGCGAGGACATGTTCGGCTACAGCACGAGCGTGCGCCGGGCGGGCGCCTCGCGCGGCGCGGCGCGCGGCGACCGTGACGAGCGCGACACCGTGTTCCCGTACCGGGAGCGGCGCGCCGGCACCACCGCGCCGCCCAACCCGTCGCGCCGCTGGATGATCGAGAACGCGCTGCGCGACACGCTGATGGAGAAGGACCCGGACGGTGAGCGGGAGGAGGAGAGGGGGGGGGGGGGGGGGGGGAGTATGTCGACCCGGCTCCCCTTCTTGGAGCTTCTCCAGGTGTCGCAGGGGTGCTGTGTGTTGGATGAGCCGATGCTGAGACTCTGGTGCTTACTACCGTCCAAAGGTTCGTTTCTGGCCATTGTGCGTTTTGTGCCATCTGATTCGTCTTCTCATGCTGAATTCGGATATTTAAACCAATAGCTCAAGTTTTCACAAACTTTTAGCTCAAAGAAAAGGTTACAAGATGGTGCAAAATTTCAACGGATGGTTTAGATAACCGCATTCAGCACGAGCAGACGAATCAGATGACGTAGAACATGCAGAAAGGCCAAAAATCACCATATGGGGTTTTACCCTTGGACGGCAGCTTTCCTGCTGACCGTCGCTTTGTTCCGTGCCGGGAGCCCTGCCTCGTCGCACGCTATGGCACGTGACTGGTGTGTCACGTGCCGTTGGTCTTGTCACGTGACTGATGTGTCCGATCGTGGACCGCTCCGACTGCGCCGCGTGGCCGGCCGGCCGGCGAAGGGCGCGTGAGTCCGCGCACGGATCCCTGCCCGCCTTGCTCTGACGCTCACGTCGCTCCTTCACAGGCAAGAAGAAGGAGGCGAGCCAGCCGAGCCCGCTGTGGCTGTCGGACGAGCTGGAGTTTCTGCCGGCGTCTGTCAAGTTCGCGCACATCGCCGCACTGCACTCGGAGCTGGCCGCCGTCAGCGCGACCGGCCAGCTCTACCAGTGGAAGTGGAACGACATGGAGGCGTACCGGCACCCAGAGGTACGGCCGTCGCGCCGCTGCGTCACCGCCCCGGGCCAAACAGCTGAGGAAGGCTACTATGCGGTTACGGTCGTCTGTCAAAGACAAAATGATATCCGTACGTGTTGGTGCATGTATTGATTAAAGGCCACAGGTTGCTGGGCAAGAGGAGCACGGATCCGCTCACTCAGAGTGTCGCTGTGGTGCGTCGGCCAGTGTCCCCTCTGACTGATCCGCCTCTGGCCGGCCGGCAGAACCCGGACATCCGCCACCCGAAGGTGTCCTGCCTGGGCCTGCTGAGCGAGGTCATCACGCACATATCGGCGTCGACGGTGCGCGCTTCGGTGGCCACCGAGTCGGGCCGCGTGGCCACCTGGGTCGACGAGACGATCGGTACGTGACGGCCGAGGCGGGGGCCTCCGCGCCGGTGGTGCGGTAGCCGCGGCCGTCAGGATCCGGCTCAGCGATGAGAGGTGGCGGATCTGCGAGCCGGCGTGCGTTGCGAGGTGCAGGGGCAGTCGGAACGCGCGGGCCCAACCGGCAACGGTGGTGTGACTGTGTGGGTGCCGACGGCGACCACTCGGCGCGTCACGACATGCGTCGGCTTCCAGCGGGATGCGGGGCGCGTTGAACGAGGCTCTGTGGTGTGATGTCCGTGACCGGTGCCGCCCTGCCGCAGCGACGGCGGCCACCAAGCTGGAGCACCCGGCGCACGCCTTCTCCGAGCTGGTGGTGGACCGCGTGCGCCAGCTGCAGACCTGCTCGCTCTACACCTGCGTCCAGCTCGAGTCGGGGACCATGTACTGGTGGTGAGTGGTCACGGCCGACCGGTGCGCCGGCCGCGCCGTTCGGACACCTGCGAGGAGTCCTTCAGCCAGGCGAGCTCGTCACCAGGTGGCGCACTCGCGTTTTGTCGCAGACGCCTCCGGCGTTCAGACGCTGGTCGGTATGGGTGAGAGGAACGCGCATGACGAGAATGTTGAACAGCGCACACAAAGTGGCGTTGGTTGGAATTTGGCGGCGTGAAGGTGACGCTGCTGTTCGTGCGACAGGGGCGTGCTGCCGTTCGGTCAGCGGCGTCGGCTCTGGGAGAAGTACCGGCTCAAGTGTAAGCGGCAGCGGCCGTCCGCCACGGCCGGCGACGTCCAGGTCGGCGCCACCGTCTGCATGCGCAACGCGCCGTTCTACCACGCCGGCGCCGTCGGTACGCACAGCGCCCCCGCTCCGGCCGGCGGCGGCTTGCGGGGGGTGCGAGAGATCGTGAGAGAGGTGGTGCTTGTGCAAGCATTTTATGTGTGAGGCATTACGATAAGACCAGTCGCTAACATGGTGTGAAGATATAGGCAATTGCCATGAGAATGGGAGCCGTTCAGGTGCACGTTTGCCAGCTGCCCTGTCAGCTGTGTGCTGCCGCTGCACATGCGGTCTCTCGAAACTGACTCGTTCCCGAGGGCTGGCTGCCCTTTCAGCTGGCAGCTCTTTGTCTCACACGGAAGCGAAATGATGGGAACGCGGCGACTGCGAGCCGTTCACGCGTATGGCGCCGCACCGGGGATCCCGTGCTGGTGCCGCTGTGACCCGCTCCGCTCCGGCAGGCTACACCACACTGGGCGGCGGGCCGCGCGTCGGCCAGCTGCTGCAGGCCGCCTGGAACCTGACGGACGTGTGCCGCTTCAAGATCCTGCTGCCGCCCGCCGAGCCCAAGAAGGTGTGTGGCACGGGCGCCTCTCCGCTGGCGGGCCGGTGCTGGAGGCTGCCGCGCCGCGCGTCGCGGGTTCGGCGTCTGCTCCTGGTGTAGCGAAGGACGTGGTGTCGCTAGGGTCCCAAAGACAGGGTCACTCGAAGAGGATTGGAGCTCAGTAGGCATCCCCGCTGTGTGCACGTTGATGCGGCCTGCCCCATAGCCGCTCCGATCTCTAGCGACAGCCGCCGCCGGGGGCTGTCAGCCGAGGGCTCGCTTCCTCTCGCTGTCGGAACTTCGGGCCAGTCTCGGTCAGCGCCTGCCGCGGCCGTCTGGTCCGGCTGGCGCCCGACCTGACGCGGCGTGTCTCCTCCGCCGCAGCCGGCGCTGCGCGAGGGTCAGCTGAAGACCAAGGAGGCGGCCGACCGCAACGACATGCCGCCGCCGCCCAGCCCGGCCAGCTCCACCTGCTCGGACGCCAGCGGCTCGGCTTCCACCGGACCCGTGCCCAGTCAGTCTGACGTCTGCCGCCTCCTCTGTCCGTCCGCCTGCCTGTCTGTCGATGTTGTGTGTCTGTCTGCTGTGGTCGCCCACGTTCTGCAGGCATCTCTGTCGCTGGTCGGCTTCACCGCCGTCTGGCTCGGTGTTCGCCTGCGTGTCAGCGACGAGAAACAGGCGAGCCTTCTCAGTGATTGTGCGGCAAGTTCACGCTCCCGCCATGACAGTGCGCTGCTCGCTGCGTGTCCGAGCGATGGCTGGAGGCGTCGCCCGCGTGCGTGACGGGCCGCCGCTCCGTCTCCGCTCGTCGGCCGGCCGCCCTGACCGGCTGTGTGCCCGCCGCCGACAGAGCGGGCGCGGCGTTCGGCGCCCAAGAGCAGCGCCGAGCGCAAGGACGAGGAGGAGTGGTGCTTGGCCGATGTCATCTTCATCGAGGAGAGCAAAAACATCCCTTACGGTGCGTCCAGCGCCGCCCAGGGGGGGGGGGGGGGCGGTCCATGCGCCGCCGTACAGTTCAGGGGTTGTGTGCTGGGGTTGGACGGTCTGTACAGAATGTGGAGTAATGTCTCACGTAAGCGGGGTTGCTGTCCCACTACCCACAAAGTCACTAGAACCAGACGCCAGAGGAAGGTGGTTTTCAGCCCGTCGCCGTAAACTGTCGGGCTGCGCCCCCTGAATCTTAAATGCTGTCAGCCAGTCTAAAACCATACATCCCCCAACCACTAATGCGCGTCCAAGACACCCAACACACCGAACACCTTAGCGGCCCGTTCTCTCGCTGTCGGCGTCAGCGCTGTGCCTGTTGTGACCCTCGCGCGCTGGCGTCGCAGGCAAGGTGCTGAAGATCGACGGCCCGTACGCCGTGGTGTACTTCTGCCAGGGCCGCGAGGCGCCGGCCACCGACGACCCGCTGGTCATGCTGAACGAGTCGCGACTCTGCAGGAAGGACGAGCTCATGGTGAGGCTGCGGCGGGGTGGGCGCCAGGCCGGTGTGCTGGCGCATGCCGGCCGGGAGTGAGGTGTGGGAGGGTCGAGGGGATGGCCCCCGGACCATCAGCCGCCGTCGGCCGGTGTCGAGACTGGCGGACACGGCGGCATGACTCGCCCCGGGTGGCCCCGATCGCCCTCGAAGCCGGAGTTAACGCTGGGCCGGATGGAGCCGATGTCTCCGGGAGCGTTGCCGCCGGGTCACCGGAATGACGTACCACCTCGGCCGCTAGTGACGCGCCACCGCCGTCCATCACCAGGTCATCAAGCCCGGCTCGCCGCCGCGCGTGCCAGAGTGCTTCCAGAAGCTGCCGAAAAAGATCGCGCTGCCCAGCTCGCTCCAGGTGCTGACGTACGCCGTCGACGGCAAAGGTGAGCGCGTGCTGCTGGCCAAGCCTCCCCGCTTCGCGGCGGCGTCCCGCTGGTCTGAGCTTCACCGCAGGGACTCGTGCGCCAGGGTGGGGGGGGGGGGGGACGAGGCGACTGAACCTCGCGGCTGTCCCGCACCCACGTACGCCGTGGCGGGCGTACAGACACAGACGTTTTTTCCGTTTCACTTGACTTCCGCGTTCGTACGTCTTCGCATGCCACGGGTCCTACCCAGGCGCGGGCCGCTTCCGTTGTCGGTGACGGTGGCCAGTCGGCTGCGCTGTTGCCGTGGACCGAACGCCGCTCCGTCTGTGCGTCGGCTGGCCCTCCCTTACCGTGTCCGGACCCGCCCAGGTCTGCACTGTATCGTGGCGAGCGGCGGCAGGCTCAGCTACAACGTCTACAGCCTGGTCAGCAGCAAGCCGGACTCGGAGTGCGTGCTGCCGACCGAGGCGGACATCTTCTGCGGTCGCCAGCCGGCCGCCATCTCGCTCCGCACCACCGGCGAGGTGGGTGCGGGGTGCGGGGGGGACGAGGTCACGGCCTCTGGCCGACGGACGGCAGCGGCGGCGCTGAGGCGTGGGGCTGGGAGCAGCCCTGTTGGGGTCAAGTCTGGTCAGCCGGAGCGGTGCATTGGTGGGCTCGACGCATGGCGAGCCATGGTGATGGGTAATCAGGACGGAACAATCAGGACGCGACTTCTTGCTGTGACCAAAGGCTTTCGTCTTTTTGTGTAGGATCTGTGGCCACAGCTGGGAAAGCGGTATCGATTACCCAGGCTTCTCTGGAACGCGACAGGCAGTAAAAGAGGCAGTAATCAGGCGTCTCTGTCTGTGGCGGGCCATGCGGTGACTGCACTGTGCATGTGGGTAACCGGGTGACGAACGCTGCAGGCGGACCAGGTGACGCTGCTGCTGGACGGCAACTCGACCGTGTACCCGCTGAACAAGACATGCACCGAGAACTCGATTCGCGACCCGCTGACCTTCGACCTGATGCCGCTCAGGTCAGCCCCCGCCCTCTCCTCCGGGAGCGGGGCGTGCCGAGGCCGCTGCCGGCGCCGGCCGGCTGAGGGAGATTGACGCTTGGTGAAGGAGTGGCGCGCCGTATTCTGGCATATCACGCGGGGGTTCATTGTTCGGTGTGTGCCGAGTGCTCGGAATTTCGGAGGGAAGGGGAGGGAACGTTAATTGATCGCCCGTTTCTGATGGAGGTGGTGCAACTGTGTGGCGGGATTTAGCGGATAAAATCCCCGACGGGGGGGGGGGGGGGTCTTTAGGGCAAGTCATCAAGCTGCGATCTCCTGGCGACCGCATCCGTCCACTGTCCGTCCGACTGTCGGCGCCGGTCGCCTCTGACCGGACCGCCGCGGCGCCCTCCGGCAGATGCCTGGCGCTTGGCAGCCACCACCTGCCGTTCGTGGCGCCGCACCAGAAGACGACCGTGGCGCTGGCCGTGCTCGTGGTGGACGCGCAGATCCTGATGCCGAAGATCCTCCGCTGCGACCTGGACGCCGTCACCCAGCTGCTTCACACGCTCACGCAGGACATCAGTGAGTTCGAGTGACGGCGGCCGGCCGGAGCGCACTGGCAGGCATGGCTGGTGCGCGACGCGGCTTCGCACCGTCGCCTTGGTCGGGTGAAAGGTGTTGGACTCGGAAGCCAGTGGCGTCAGCTTGGCGCGAGTCCTGGGGCGTGCGCGGCGTGGTTTAGCCGGACCGGCGTGGGAATGTCAGCTAGAGACTGGCCAGGGAGGGGCGATTTGGAACGGCGCGGCCATGCCCCACCGCTGTACACCGAGAGAGATATGTATGTCGCTCCGTCAGGCTAAAGATACCGGAGGCTAACTTATACCATGAGCTGGAACGGCGGAATATGCGTGGAGGGCTCGGGATGCTAGCAAGTTCCACGTGGGACGTAATTCGGTCCAAGGCCACCCATGTGTACCGTTCGGGGTACATTTCTATTAAAAAGTATCATTTGTCGCTCGGAGAAAATCCAGCCCGCATGTTCTCTACGGATGTGCGCGTACTCTCATCGTACGCCATCGGGCGTGGTGTGTGTCCGGCGGCAGCGGTGCGCGTCTGAGGGCTGCCCCAGACCTGATCCGGGCCGGCGCCGCCCGCCGCTCGAGCCGTCGTGTCCGGCCCACGAGCTGACGCAGGCCGGCCCGCTCCGGCAGAGTCACCCGTCACGCAGGCCACCATCCAGCAGCTGATCTCGGAGCGCTGCGACGGCAACCGCAACATCATCCACGCCTGCGTCTCCATGTGCTTCCCCACCACCAACAAGGAGGGCGCGCAGGGTGAGTGAGCCCGGCCGGTCGGCGCGAACGGTGTCCACGTGCTCTCGGGACGGCGGCGTGCTCCTGTTCTAAGATGGGACGTTCAGTTGTGTTGTGTCCGTTTTTCGTGTGCAAGTTTCGAGTTCTTATTTGTGCCAACGATGTGGCTTCAGCCGGTGAACAGCTGTTATGAAAGCTTCTCATAGCAGATGGCTAACTTTTGATTTGCAAGCTGAACTCGCGCGCTTTTGGCATCTCGTGCCAACACCATATGAGGATGTAATGCGAGTATGTTTTATCCTCCCCCCCCCCCCCCCACATGCTCGTCATTTGTCTTTTGTCTTGTGACGTGGGACGAAAACATGTTGAAGCTTTTAGCAGTGGATATGTTTGACATGTGCTATGAACGTATACGGGAATAACGTGACGCGTAGCCGTGCTGGGGCGCAAAATGGAAAGATATGTGTGTTGTTGCGGTTACATAATATCCAACCTCGGTCGCTCGTGCCATTGGGTGGCCTAACTTGTGTGTGTGTGTGCGATGACACATGCCATCCAAGTCGACCTGTGCACAGTTGCTGGAGTCCCTGGTCGCGCTCCCGGCAGCACCTGACGTTGTCACGCATCCCTCCTCAGACGGCTCGTCCGGCAGCGGCGGCGGCGGCGGTGGTGGCGGAGGCGGCGGCGCAGGCGTCGGCGGAGGCGTTGGCGCCGGCGCGGCCGCCGCCAGCTCCAGCGTCATGAGCTACGAGCCGACGTTCGAGTCGTACTCGGCCAGCCGCAGCCAGACCATTCGCGACTTCATCCGCCGCTCGTCCAACATCGTCAGGAGCATCAGTGAGTCGCCGGCCGGCGCTGGCCGCTGGCTCAGGCCACCGGCCCGAGCTTGGCGGCGAGCCGGCGCCGCAGCCGCTCCGACGCTGATGGCCGACAGCATCGCGCGGCCGGCTGCTGCCGGGGCAGATGTCGGTATCAGTTCGGCTGCATAACTTTGGGCAGTGTCCGTACTTCATGGAGGAGCCCATTCCGAACGTGTGTGCTTCAAAATGGCCGTTTTGTCGCTTTTCAGAGCTCGTTCTGTTTCCTTGCTCCTGGTCGTGCTGCATGCAGCTGTATGAACGAGAAAGAGAATGTATCTGTTTGATCCAAATTCCAGCAGCCGGATGGCGACCCCAGTTTAAGGAACAGTATGTTGCCAGTAGCGGTGTATCCACGTATGGTAGTCGTTCTAGATGCATGACTGTCGAACAAGAGATGATAGCAGTCCAGTGAGTAGACGAGTGGGGAAGGTGTAGTGTTTTATGCTGTAGTGATGATGGGATGCTGTGGGAGGAATGCTCTATTGCATGCATGTTGTGACGTGGACCCGGCACCCCATGATGAGAAGAAAAACCACAGCAGGCATGTCGACGGCAGGTACCCCGTATGTTACAAGTGCGCAGGTAGCGATGTGGATGGTGTGGTATCCGCCGGGCGCGGTGTAGCGTCCGCAGCATCCGTCCGTGGCGGCACGGCAGCAAAATCAGCTGTCTGGCTGAGTCGTGACGGCGGCCGCTGCTGCAGTCGCTAGGGGCCGTCGCGAGGCCGTGTAGCACCATACAAACAGGCACCGCGCCGGCAGCTCAGCACGCGGTGGGGGGTGGGAGCGCGCGTGCGGACACTGCGCCTCAGCACCCCGGGGTGGGCGGTGACCGCGCCCGGCGCCAGTGTCCGTGTGCCGGGCGCTGACGGCGCCTGTGGCGGCAGGCGCCGTGTCGGGCCAGGGCGGCCTGCTGGTGGCGACCGGTGGCGCCGAGCAGCACGACCCGGCCGGACTCGAGCGCGAGGAGGTCTACAGCGACGAGTTCCCGCAGCTGGGGCGCGCCGTCACGGCCGCTGACATGCCCTGGCCGCCGGAGCCCATCGACCCGCACAGCGGCGATGACGAGCCGGCCGGCGGCGGCGGCGGCGGCGGTGGCGGCGGCGGCAGCGGCGGGGGCGGCGGCGCCGGCGCCTCCACCTCCAGGCAGATCGGTCAGTGCGGCCGGTCGGCAGCCGGCACCGGCGATGTTAGCTTAGAGAGGCACGGTGGCTGTACGGCGGTGTTGTGTAGAGCTGACGGGTACACAGACGGCGGGCTGCATGATCTAGAAACCCGCGCGCTATGGAAACGCATGGTCCATGATTGTACCGCGAGATGCCGGAAAGGTCACGACCATGTATTGGTCATGATCAAGTATTGATTGGCCGGCCGCTGACATGCACTGGCCGTCATGATCAAGCGTTGATCATGACCAAGACATGATCAAGTATTGGTAAATGACACTGGTGGCGAGGAACCTTCTGCAGTCCTACTTCCGACCGTTACAATCCGAATAGTGTGGTGCTGAGGCGACACGGCCGCCGTGGCGCTGCCGTCTGACCCCGCGCGTCCGCCAGGCCCCAGCATGCCGACCATCCTGACGGACCCGGGCGAGCGCAAGGCGAGCGCGCACAAGGCGCTGTGGCGCCTGTGCGAGAGCGCGGTGCTGGCGCCCTACCTGCGTCAGCTGCTGTGCGGCCGCGACGTGCAGGGCTACACGCCGTTCATGCAGGCGGTGTGCGGCCGCGCCTACCGCGCCGCCATCCAGCTGCTCGACACCGCCCAGCGCATCGCCAAGGTGAGCCGGCCGACGGGCCCCGCAGTCGGCGCGGGCACACCCGCCCGCGCAGCCGTGGGTTGGTGTTCAGGGTCGAATGAGACCCAACTTCGTTCGACTTTGTGTGACGAAGCAGAGCTTGTTGCCCGCAGGCTGGACTCACCGCCGAGGTACAGTTTCAGCTTAGTTGACGGCCTGCTGTCGTGCCCGTTTATCAGAACTGCAAAGGACACCTTTCGCGTCCCGTAGTATTGTTTTCCCTGCTAGGCCGACTCTTATCTCAGGTCGGTACGCTGGTCGGAACAAGCCATGCGTGCTGTGAAGCTGGGACGAACCGCCCGTTGGGTTGCAAAACCACTCCATGAAACAATCGTTTGTGTTGCCGTCCACGACTGCAGCAGCTTTCCGCGTTGAAGTGCGAGCGCTTTTATTTGGAAAATCCACTGTTTTATGTTTGGCGACCTTGTAACGTAGCTAAGCTCATGACAGCGGGTCTGGCCGCGCTGCTGGCCCGAGTCTCTCGCATCCCCTGATCCTCCACGCCACTGCTGCCGGCAGGAGCACTCGAGCGACGCTGAGGGTTACCAGCACGTACTGCAGTCGATGATATACCCGGCCGGTAGCTCCGCCGACGACAACCCTCTGTACGTGCTCTGCTGCAACGACACATGCAGCTTCACCTGGACGGGCGCCGAGCACGTGCACCAGGTGAGAGCCGGAGTCAGGAGAAGGCCGGAGGCGGGCGGAGAGGCGCTACCCCCGTCGGAGGCGGCGCCGGGGCCGGCCGGACGCCTCGTCAGTCGGCACCACGATGTGGTGTTGTGCCATGTCCTAGCGTGACACCGCGACGTCATGTAAATGTGTGGTGCTGTTTTGGGGCGCTGTGATTGGCGGCGGAAAAGAAGCTAGCTTGGTTGTGGAACGGTGATGAACAGCGAGGCTTGTGTTAATGAGATGGTAGTGGTTTCAGAGTGTGCACCACGCGGACCTTTCCCGATGGTCGAAACGCTGCTGCATGCGATACATTACAGGTCAACGGTAGATACGACATAATCGCCACGTTCGCCGATTAAATCACAAACGCTTGTCCTGCTCCATTCGAATTAAACTGATGCTCACATGTGGTTCTGTTAAACACGATCACGCCCCGGGTCTTCCTCCGGTGCTGCGGAGGGGGCTGCGCCCGGCGGCCGAGCCGAGCTCGTTGCGCGTGGCGTGCCGCCGGTGCCCTGACTCTCGGTGCCGCTGCAGGATATCTTCGAGTGCCGCACCTGTGGTCTGGTGGGCTCGCTCTGCTGCTGCACCGAGTGCGCCCGCATCTGCCACAAAGGGCACGACTACAGGGTGAGTGCGTCGGGGAACAACACAACAGCGCAGCACGACCAATCAGCTGGCGGCGGGGACCGACGGTTCTCGCCTTATTGGGGGGTACAGCTCGGTGCTGCTGAAACATGGACAGTCAACGGACGGCCGCTGCTTGTATGTTGTGTTTATACGCGGGCTGTTGTAAATTACGGAGCTTTATCATCGGGTGTGTGCAACCAGTTGCAGTCATGTTTTTCGACTCACGTGGTGAAGTGCGCGTTGCTGATACAGTACTTGTGTGGCTTGTCCGTCATCGCTCAGTCCGCTCGGAAACTAAACGCACGCTGCGTCTTGGCAGACCAGCGCGACGCGCTGGGCGTGGCGGGACCTTTTGGCCACAAACGGCCAGTCGTTCATACCAATCGAATATAATGTGTTTGCTGCTTGTAGCTGGCATGCATTTTTTGTTGCATCGAAACACGCGGGCGCTGGCGTCGATCAGCCCGTTCTGGGCCTGGGCCGGCTGCGCCGGGCGCCGCGACTCCGCCCCAGCGCGGCTGGTATGACCGACGCGGCGCCGCGCACTGCGGACGCCACCGGCTGACGTACTCCCCCCCCCCCCTCCCTCCCCCCCCCCGCCTGCGCCCGTGTCCAGGTTAAGAACACGTCACCGTCGGCGTACTGCGACTGCTGGGAGAAGTGCAAGTGCAAGACGCTGATCAGCGGAGACCAGGGGCCGCGCTGTGAGCTGCTCTGTCGCCTGGTGGACGAGACCGACCTGTCCAGCCACACCAACGCCCGGTACGTCAGCTGACCTGACCTGCCCCCCCCCCCCCCTCACCAGTCCCGTCGCTCCGCATGCGCTTGGTAACTCGCCACGGCATCCGTACGGTACCGGACCATTATTCGTTTGTTGTTAATGTATTTGTTCTTCATTTATTCACGTTTCGTTCATTAATTCGAACCATTCAGTTTTATTCATTCTTTTTCGTTTATTTACGTATCATTCGTGCACTTGATCTATTTCTTTTTCATTTCTTTTTTTCCTCCATGTATTGTTGTTTCATTTGTTGGAGTGACGCAATAACGACGCTGATAGCGGTTGCCGCCAGATTCATAACAACCATAGTCATCGTCAGGTGGTATTCCACATCGATATTACGGGTTGCCAGACGGATTATTCGTGTTTTTCCTCGATTGTTGCACTGTTAAGCATGTTGTGGCACATGGCTCGTGCCACGTTCCGTAGGTCTGGAGGCTATGTGCCTTGATTACTGGAGGTGTTAAGTGAAACGTGCTGTCGTTGCCATTGTAACTTCCTGCTGCTTGTTGTGGCCGTCAGACGGTGCTCGTGGCATTGTGCTGTCCTCGCGTGAGTCGTGCTGGCCACCGTGACCTGACCGTCTCCCGGTGCGGCCGGCAGAGGGGAGAACATCCTGCTGTTCCTGGTGCAGACGGTGGGCCGCCAGACCCAGGAGCAGAAGGTGTACCGGCCGCGGCCGCGCGCCGCCTCCTCCGTCCGCAAAACGGCCGAGCTCGGTATGCTGGTCGGGCCGCCTGACGCCGGCCTCAGCTCGGGGAGCGCACCGGTACTGGGGGTGGGAGGCAGAGCCGTCTGGCAGCGCGAGCCGCTGAGCTCCGGCGGCGCTCCGGGCTCGGTGGCCCCGCTGCTGTCCGCGCGCTCCGCCGCCGTGATCTCACCCTATGCGCAGTTAAATGACAGTATATCATTTGCTTCACGGGGCGACCGAAATAGCCGCTCGTTTGTCGCGGCGGCTGCCTGTCGGCTGCCAACTGCAGACTCGTATCGTGTCACGCCGTCGCGTGAGATCGCGACGGGCGGCTGGCTCGGACGCGGCGGTGACGTGTGCCCGCCGCCGCTGCAGACCTGGAGAGGCCCGACCACGACCTGGAGCCGCCGCGGTTCGCCCGGCGCGCGCTCGGCACCCTGCTCAAGGACTGGCCGGCCGCCAGCGCCATGATCAACACAGGTCCGTACGCCGTGTGGGGCCGCCGCCGGCCTCGCCACAACGGTGGTCGGCCTGTGGGCCGTGTTTGTCGCGTGGTGCGGGGCGACCGAGGGGTTGTATTCGTGCTGCGTCGCAGGCCGGCCTCGCTGGACCGTGCTCGTCACAGCGCCTCGCTCGCAGTTTGTCGGTGAGACCCTGACGCGGTCTCCGGCACGTTGGCCGCCCAGCGGCCGTGATGGTCGACGCCGGCCGAGCGCCGCTGACGTGTGGTGCCGGCCGTGTGGCAGGTAGCAGCAGCGCAGCCAGCACGGCGGCCGCCGGTCAGCTGGGGCAGACGGGCACCACGCTGCTCGACAAGTTCGTCCACTGCCTGCTCGTGAAGTGCTCCGTGGAGGTACGTTGGAGCGGCGCCGGCGCGAGCAGACGGGACTCGCCGGCCGCAGTCGCTCCGGCTGGCACTGACGAACGTCTCGCGGTCATTCGCTCACTGATTAATGTTCACTGTTCTCAATGTACAACTTACAGCTGCTCTGTCGCAACTACCCCTTGTTGGTCCTTCCACTACCACTTGATGAATATGATTTGTCCGAACCAACGAAATAGCCGGTTAACGTCCCGTTTCCCGAACAGCAAGTGGTTGACAAAGCCACTCTGGAAGTGCCAGCACAAAAATTCGATGCTTTGCTTATGGATATATCGGTAGATCCGTGCGTTCATGTGATGTCCTTTATTCGGCGCATGCCGAATTAAAAGCAACATCTGAACGAATTGCACACTCCGGTACAAGTACGTAAAAGCCCAATCAACACAAAAGGAGAGCGATAAAAGCTGAGCATTAAGCTGGCAAACGTACCAGCAGAAAAAACTGGCCTCACATCCTGCCTCGTGCTCGCCGTCGTGTGCCTACCTGGAGCAGCGACCTGGCTGCTGAGCCCCGCACCCCGCCCTGACCCGGCGCTGTCCTGTGTCGCGTCAGATGCTGAACGTGCTGCTGACGACGCTGATCCGCGAGATGCGCAGCCAGCCGGAGGTGGCGACGGCCGTGGCGCGTCGCTTCGTCCGCTCCGTCGCCAGGATCTTCGTCATCCTCAGCGTGGAGACGCCCCCCAGCGGCGTCAAGAAGAAGAGGTGGGTGCTGAGACCTGAAGCCACTGTTCATGTCGGCTGCTAAATTGCTAGTGTTTTGCGTTGCACATGATGGGTTGTCATGTGCTCTGCTGCCTTCGTCACTATCTCGCCATCTGCTCGTCGATCAGTGAACCAGGCTGCTGCTTTCTTATGTCGTCATGGGGTCTTCGGTACTTTTTTCCATTTGCCTTATGTAATCGCATTGCAAACGATCGGCTGCCTGGGCCGCCCGGCTGTGTGGTTGTGCCGACTGACGAGTGCCGCTGTCGCTGACGGGCGTCCCTTTGGCCGGCAGCTCTGGCACCAGTACGATCCAGCGATGTCGGCTGGTGTTCCACAGTCTGCTGACGCCGGCTGTCGAGGAGCTCTGCCAGACGGCCATCAGTTTGATCGCGCCTGTGCGCATGGGCGTGGCGCGGCCGACGGCGCCCTTCCAGCTGGCGCAGAGCGGGCAGGAGGCGCTGCACGGCTCCGAGGAGCTGTTCGCCGTAGACCCGATCGTGGCCAGCGCGCCGGCCGGCGGCGCGGCAGCGGCGGCGGCGCGCGCGCGCAGCCCGCCGCCGGCGCTGCCGCCGCGCGCCGCCGCCGGCCCGCCGCCCACCGGCGCCGGCTCGGCCGCGGCCGGCGCCGCCGCCGCCGCCGCCGCCATGTACCAGCTCTCGCGCGAGGAGCAGGAGGAGCATGACGGTCAGTAGCGGTCGGCGGCCCGGTTTTTAGAGGAGAGGCGACGTAGACAAGAACTGTGGGTGCTGGAACGTCCACTGTTTGGATGTTTTTTTTTAATTGAAATGCATGCTGTGCTCCGTAGCAGAATTGGCAGATGGTACCTAAAGTTTGGTACCCGAGCGTACTTTTGTGCTCAATTTTCATGGTAGGCAAATGCTGTATGTTAGCTGCTGCCAATACCAGCTAATTGGCTGAGAATACTGATCTGCCGAACGCCGTCCGTCGTTGGCATTGCGCATGATCACCGATTGTTAATCGCATTGGCCACGAGTATGTTGCTGGTCACCTGATGCTCGTCCATGGCACGCACCCGCGCGTGACCGTTGCTAGTCGTCGGTCGTCGGCCACGGCGCGTGACCGGACTGCCCGTGCCCGGCAGGCGGCGGCTCGGAGCTGGAGGAGGCGGCCGACCGGGCGGACCGCGAGGAAGGCGGCGGCGAGTCGGACATGGAGCTGGACCTGCTGGCCGAGACCGAGTCGGACTCGGACGACAACCAGTCGGCGCAGGACAACGTGTCGGGCGGCCAGCAGAGCGTGCAGACGCGCGCCACTGCTGGCTCGGACGCCGCCCTGGCCAGCATCGGCCTCTTCAGCGACGACCGCAGCGGCTCACCCTCCGAGGCTGAGGACGAGGAGGAGGACTCGGAGCAGGGCGAGACGGACGACCAGGAGACGGAGCTGTTCAGCGAGGACCAGCTGGAGCGGCGCGCGGCGGCCGGCGCGGGCGCCGCCGGCGCCGGAACCGCCAGCACGCGCGCCAACCTGACGCCGCAGAGCATGCAGTGGGCCATCCGGTCGCGCTCGCAGGAGGCGAGTTCGCGCGTGACGGGCGGCGGCAGCAGCCTGGTGTACATCGACCCGAGCGCCAGCCGCCGCTTCACCACCAGCGCCGTGCCGTCGTCGGTGCAGACGAGCGTGCCCGAGCCGGTCACCATGGCGACGACGGCCTCGTGCCTGGCGCGCGCCTTCGCGCTGGTCGTGCGCCAGATAGCCGACCTGTTGAGCACGGCGCGCGAGCGCGGCCAGCCGGACGGCCTGCTGCCGCTGGGCGCGCTGAGCGCGCTGGGCGCCGACCTGCTGGCCGCCGACTGGCCGCGGCTGCAGCTCTACCTGGACCAGCACCTCCAGCCCACCTGGAGCTGGCTGCTGGCTGTCATGGACTCGACGGAGGCGCAGCTGCGTTTCGGCCAGTCGCTGTCTCGCGCCGACCCGACGGCGCCGGCCGCGCCGGCCGCCGGCGGGCCGGGCCCGGCGCGGAAGGAGCGCGGCCGCGCCGGCGTCACGTTCGCCGACCACCAGACGGCGCGCCGCGACTTCCTCACCTACTGCCTGTCGCTGATGCGCTCGCACAACGGCGAGCACGCCGAGGCGCTGCCCGTCATCGACATCGCCGCCCTGCGCCACGTGGCGTATGTATTCGACGCGCTGATCTACTACATGCGCTCGGGCTCGGAGGCCAAGGTGGGGCCCGAGTCGGCGGCCGACCGACTGCTCGACCTGGAGCCGGCCGACGAGACCGAGAACGACGACAACTCGGAGTCAGACGTGACCAATAACAACCCGGCGCCGATGGAGACGGACTCGGTGACGGACGACGACTCGCAGCTGTCGGCGGCTTCGGCGCCGGACAGCCGCGTGCGCCGCCACCCCTTCTTCCAGCGCTCGGACTCGACGCTGTTCGTGGGCGCGCCGCAGCCGGACCCGTTCGCCGGCTCACTGTCCGAGGTGCTGCCGCTGGCCGAGCGGCCGCACCTGCTGCAGCCGACGGCGCGCCGCGAGGACCTGTTCGGCATCCCGCCGGCGGCGCCGAGTGCCGGCCCGCCCGGCCGCGCCCACCCGCTGCAGGGCGTGCCCACGCACCTGGGGCTGGCCTCGCCGTCAGGCGAGCTGGCCGCTGGCGGCGCCAGCTTCAGGCCAAGCGCCGGCGCCGGCGGCGCGCGCACCGCCTTCTCGCCGCGCGCGCGCGCCGAGCCAGAGCTGCTCAACGAGGGCCTGGGCCACGTGGACCGGCTGCTGGAGGCGGGCCCGGCGGCGCTGCAGCCGCCGGCCGACGGCGACCAGCCGCAGAACCTGTCGACGCGGCCGGCCGAGGAGGGCGCGCCTCCGCAGCGGGCGCCCATCATCGTATCGCCCAAGAAACCGGCCGACGGCGAGCGGCAACCGGTCAAGAGCGTCATCGTGCGCGTCGGCGCCATGATGGTGCACATCGACAAGGAGAGCGGCGCGGCGGCGGACGGCGCGCGGCCCGGCCCGTCCGGCCAGGCGGCGCCGGCGGAGACGGGCGGGTCCGGCGCGCCGGCCGCCGACGCCGGCGTCTCGCAGGACATGCTGCTCGGCCGCTGGCATCTGCTGCTCGATCTGTTCGCGCGCGTGTTTATCGATGACGTGGGCCTCGAGCAGGGCTCGGTCATCTCGGAGCTGGGTGGCTTCCCCGTTAAGGAATCCAAGTTCCGGCGCGAGATGGAGAAGTTGCGCACCTCGCAGCAGCGCGACATCGTCTTCAACAAGATGGAGCGCGAGCGCGCCCAGCTCATCACGCAGACGTTCAAGGAGCTGAACACGCAGTACAGCAACAACAGCCGGCGCAGCACGGTCTCGCACCCGCCGCTGGCCTTCAGCCGCGTCAAGGTCACCTTCAAGGACGAGCCGGGCGAGGGGACGGGCGTGGCGCGCAGCTTCTACACGGCCATCGCCGAGGCGCTGCTGCAGCCCAAGCCGCTGCCGAACCTGGAGAGCTGCCAGATCGTGCAGCTCGGCAAGACGTACGCCTTCTCGTCGTACCACCACAAGTACAAGAGCAGCCGCGAGTCATCGCAGCAGCGACTGGCGCGCGGCCGCGAGGGCCGGCGCACGCTCTCGTGCGACGCGCGTCCCTTCACGCCCGGCCAGCTGAGCGACGCGCGCTCCAACGATCACCTGTCGCCGCACCTGCAGCAGCTGGGCGCGCGTCTGTACCCGCGCGTGCGCGCGCTGCGCCCGCACCAGGCGCAGAAGGTGACCGGCATGCTGCTGGACCTGTCGCCGGCGCAGCTGCTGCTGCTGCTGGCGTCGGAGGAGACGCTGCGCCAGCGCGTCGAGGAGGCGGTCGACATCCTGCACAGCCACAGCCGCGAGGCGGCCGCGTCCGAGTCGCTGCTCGGCGACAAGGCGCGCCCGAAGGCGGCGGCGCGCCAGGCGAGCGAGGAGGAGGCGACCGAGGAGCGCGACGCCTCGCCGCTGTTCTACTGCCCGGGCAAGCGCGGCTTTTACGCGCCCTGGCTCGGCCGCGCCACGCCCGAGCGCATCAACGCCTTCCGCAACGTGGGCCGCATCATGGGCTTGTGCCTGCTGCAGAACGAGCTGAGTCCGATCTCGATGTGCCGTCATGTGTACAAATACCTGCTGGGCCGGCCGGTGCGCTTCCACGACCTGGCCTTCTTCGACCCGGCCATCTACGAGTCGCTCCGGCAGCTGGTGGTCGACGCCGAGACCAAGGGCGACAAGGATGGACTCTTCTCGGCACTTGATCTCACGTTCAGGTCGGCAGACGGGCGGCTTAGTGGCTGTTGATGGTTGGGGACGGGTAGGCTGGCATCTAACCGTCGAATTCGTCAACCTGTGTGCGACTTAATTCAGTTACAGCATAATGCAATCACGTCAAAGGCCGAATATTGACAGACTGAAATGCTGGTGCAGCATAGCTGAGCAGGTGATGCGAATGATTCTCAATGCGTTTGGTTGTGTCCACTGACTAAGTAAGATTCTCAGAATGCATATCAGATTCCTGATGTTCGCCTTAAATGGAGCGGGTGCAGACTCTTGACTGTTCACGTAAACTCGGTCGCATGTCACCACCTGTGCCGTCGCCGCGTCGCTGCCGGCGTGGCCGTCGTCTTACCGAGCCTTGCTGACGGGCCCCGCAGCATTGACCTGTGTCCGGAGGAGGGCGGCTGCACGGTGGACCTGGTGCACCGCGGCGCCGAGATCGAGGTCACCTCGCAGAACGTCTACGACTACGTGCGCCGCTACGCCTTGCAGCGTATGGTCAAGTGCCAGCAGAAGGCGCTGGAGGTGAGGTGGCGCCGCCGGCCGCCGGACCGTGCGCCGCGCTCGGCGGTTGGGCGCAGCGCCACTCGTGTATGGTGTGTGGGATGCGTCGTGGCTGGCGCTGAAACTGACGGCAGCTGACAGAGAAGTGTGCCCTTAAGGCTAGCGGTGTCCGGTGGCCATAGATCTCACGTGTTTGGGCACTCTTGGCCCTGGTTTGGGGATGGCTGACTGGGCACCGCGTTGCCCTCTCCGTCGTCGATTTTGTTTTTTTCTGCCGGCTTGGCAGACTCCGTTGGGCCCGTGTCATCTACTCTCGCGCTGACTGCCCGGCGTCGGTGCGGCACCCGGGCGGGGCTGACCGGTGGCTGGCTGACGCCCGCAGGCGCTGCGCTCGGGCCTGCTGGATGTGCTGCCGCAGTCGGTGCTGGACCCGCTGACGGCCGAGGACCTCCGCCTGCTTGTCAACGGCGTCGAGGACATCTCGGTGCCGACGCTCATCTCCTACACCAGCTTCAACGACGAGAGCGGCGAGGCCGGCGAGCGGCTGGTGCGCTTCAAGCGCTGGCTGTGGCAGATTGTCGAGAAGATGACCAAGCCCGAGAAGCAGGACCTGGTGCGTACCAAACTTCCGCTTTGGCACGCGGGCGCCGGTGCATGGCGAACACTTGGTTCCCAATGGGCGGGGAGGGCCATGGTGACTTTGACGGTGTCTCAAATCGAGCAAGGGGAGGCGGTCAGCAGACTGGCGTGTAACGAGGTAGCATGCTCCATCCACTTGACGCAGAATGGACTGAAGCAGTTTCGTCCGAGGCGGGGTAGTCCGTGTTACAGCGCCTTGCTCTATTGATACGGATCTTGCCATCCAAGTCTGCTTGTGTCGATCACTCGCACCTAACTTTATAGCACCCTCTCGCTCCATTTGACGGCGCAGGATGACTGCCGCACGTTCTCACTCCCCTGCTCGAACGCACTCTTGGCTGTTCCGGCCCTGTGTGGTGCCGCCTATCTGCTCGCATGCACCACTGGCCGCGCCGGCGTCTGACCTGACCCCCCGGCGCCTCAGGTGTACTTCTGGACGGGCTCGCCGGCGCTGCCTGCCAGCGAGGACGGCTTCCAGCCCATGCCGTCTGTGACGATCCGACCGGCCGACGACCACCACCTGCCGACGGCCAACACCTGCATCTCGCGCCTCTATGTGCCGCTCTACTCCAGCAAGCTGATCCTGCGCTCCAAGCTGCTGCTCGCCATCAAGACCAAGAACTTTGGCTTCGTGTGAGCGCGCGCCATGCGGCGGCCGCGCGTCGGCCGCCGCCGCGCGCCGTCATTCCGACGTGCTCCGCTCTGTGTTGTCTCGTGCGCGTTGGTGTGTGTTCTGTGACCTCTGTGCGCGGCCGGCGTGACCGGCGCCGCCGTCGGCGCGCGGCGCGCCCGCCGCCCCGCCGTGCCCTCTGCGGTGGATGTTACTCGCGGTCGCGGTGTCACTCGTGTCTCAGGCCCTAAGAGCCTCGCCCCGGGCGAGCGAAATCGACGGCGGCAAACAATAGGACACTTTTCCGGTTATTATTTGTTTCACAACCTTCATATTAAAAACGGGAGCTGGACAGGCTACGTGAACGGGTTCTACGGCGGAGCGACGTGGAGGGCGCGAGGCCCGGTCGCGGGGCGCCGAAGGGACCACGGCAGGCGACGGGGACGGGGTCCGACACGACACGTCGGCCCGCTGACTAGCACTGGTCTTACGACTAAGGCACGTAGTCTGTACACGGGCGGGGCGCGCCCCGCCGACACACTTGATTCGCTGATCCAGAGGTACTCTGTTCGCCGGTGAGGCGCGCCTAGCACGGGCGTTTGTAGCGAGTCCCCAGGACCTGACGCGGCACACTGACGCTCGCGGCGGCCGCGCCCGCCTGGCGGCCGCCCGCTGCGCCGACCACTGCTGGGCCCGCGCGCGCGAGCCTACTTGCTGACGTGCCGGTTGACGGCCGGGCGGGCGGCGTGCGCGGCGCGCTCGCTGCCGGCGCGGGAGGCGCGCGGCAGGGTGGCGCCGGCCGGCGCGCTGTTCAGCCGCTCCAAGTCGCGGAGCAGTCGCACCGACGCCTCCTCAGCCGGCGACCGTTTGGCCTCGTCGGAGCTGAGACTGGTGGAGCTGGCCACCGGCGATGCGGCGTCGTCGCACGTCACCTGGAGGCCACGGCAGGGGAGAGGGCGCCGTCAGCTAGCAGGGCTCACCTGGGCCGGCGCGCTGTCAGACAGCTGACGGCGCGCCGGTCGGCCACCGTATAGGCTGACCCGCAAGACAATGCACAGACAGCTTGTCAGTCGGCCGCAATTCATCAGTTATGGCTGAAAAGATGATGGGGGAGGCACGTGACGCAGACTCAACACCTCCCGGCGCTAAATTGCGCATCATCTTACATCGAGTCGCTGCCGCGCGCCGCATGCTGACGCCAATGGGCAGATATCGGTAACTGAACCCGTCTGCCAACCCCGCCGGGAATCTCTTTTGCATGAGCACTCGGCGAGTCGGGCGGTGCCGGAAGGGGCCTCAAGGATGCTGACGTGATGGTCGAGGCTGCGCATGACGTCAGCGACTCGAGAAAATAAACAGGATTTGGCATCCCCAAGATAATTAAGAAAAAAGAAGACGAAGCATTGGGGAAATTGGACGGTTCCTAATGTTCAAATATTTGACGGGTGTGTCAACAGCTGCCGTTAGCGGGCCCCATCGTTCAAGCCGGCCCTGTGGGCTTGCCAAAACATTGAAGTGGCTGTCCGTAACATACATTTCGCTTCCAATGGTGTTTGAAGCAATGTACATCCTGCATACATGATACCGGATTGATTCGGCAGTAACACGCCTTCGATTGCAGTCTGGGGGTCTTGGTGGTTGAGACAGTTTACATTCTACATACCACAATATTGAATTGCTACGGCAGCATAACGGCCTTAACTGCGGTTAAGAGCGGGGGGGGGGGGGGTCTTCTTCATCGACTGGCTGGACGGACCTGAAGCTGGTTCACAGTGCAAGTGCGAACCCAACGGTGTCATGCTAACGCAACCGAATCGTTCCACACACACCAATAATCCCCCCCCCCCAAAAAAAGAGTTATGACTAGCATTCCAAATCAGCCGAGCTTTCAGGGCAGCTCCATCTCTGCCCGGGGAGTCGCTGAGCCCACCTCGACCGTGCCGCGGCCGGTCCAGCGACACCACTGCTGGTCAAGCTATGATCCCTACCGATCTAGCTATGATCCTTGTCGATCCGGCCATGATCCTTGCTGGTCCAGGTATGATTACTGCCGATCTAGCTATGGTTCCTTCTGATCCAGCCATGATCCCTGCTGATCGAGCCATGATCCTTGCCGGCCCAGCTATGATTCCTGCCAACCAAGCCATGATCCCTACCGACCCAACTGTCATCCCTACCGACCCAGCTATGATCCCTGCGGACCCAGCTATGAGCTCGGCCGACCCAGCCGTCACTCCTGCTGACCCAGCTATGATCCCTGCCGACCCAGCTATGATCCCTGCCGACCCAGCTATGAGCCCGGCCGACCCAGCCGTCACTCCTGCTGACCCAGCTATGATCCCTGCCGACCCAGCTATGATCCCTGCCATTGTCATCCCTGCCGACTCAGCCGTCACCCCTGCCGACCCAGTTATGATCCCCGCCGACTCAGCCATGATCCCCGCCGACCCAGCTGTCACCCTTGCTGACCCAGCTATGATCCCTGCCGACCCAGCTATGATCCCTGCCGACCCAGCTATGATCCCCGCCGACCCAGCCGTCACTCCTGCTGACCCAGCTATGATCCCTGCCGACCCAGCCGTCACCCCTGCCGGTCTAGCAATGATTCCTGCCATCGCCATCCCTGCCGACTCAGCCGTCACCCCTGCCGCCCCAGCTGTCACCCCTACCGACCCAGCTATGATTCTTGCTGACCCGGCTGTCACCCTGCTGACCCAGCTGTCACCCCTACCGACCCAGCTATGAGCCCTGACAGCCCAGCTATGATCCCTACCAACCCAGCCATCACCCCTGTTGACCCAGCTATGATCCTTGCTGACCCAGCTGTCACTCCTGCTGACCCAGTTGTCATCCCTACCGACCCAGCTATGACCCCTGCCGACACAGCTATGATCTCTGCCGGCCCAGCCGTCACCCCTGCTGACATAGCTATGATCCCTACCAACCCAGCCATCACCCCTGTTGACCCAGCTATGATCCTTGCTGACCCAGCTGTCACTCCTGCTGACCCAGCTGTCATCCCTATCGACCCAGCTATGACCCCTGCCGACCAAGCTATGATCTCTGCCGGCCCAGCCGTCACCGCTGCCGGTCCAGCTATGATCACTGTCGACCCAGCCGTCACCCCTGCCAACCCAGCTACGATCTCTTCCGATCCAACCATCACCCCTGCCGACACAGCTATGGCCGCTGCCGACCCAACCGTCACCCCTGCCGACCTTGTCCCGGACGGCGTCGCGCTCCTCGATGACCTGCAGCTCGCCGACCAGCAGCTGCACGTGGTCGAGCAGCTCGCGGTTGTGCAGCAGCAGCTGGTGTGCGCGCGCCTGCGCCTCCAGCCGGGCGGCCGTCTCGGCCTGCAGCTGATCCCGCACCAGGTGCACCTGAGCCAGCGCCGCCTGCGTCTGCTGCTGCTGCTGCACCAGCCGCTCCCGCATCAGCTGCAGCACGGCCGCGGGGGTCAGGGTCACCGCGGCCCTGACGGCATCGGCTCGCGGGAGTGAACGATCGCTTGTTGACAGACGCAACTGGCGGCTGATTGATGCGTCTGACTGCAGCTGACAGGTCGGGGTAAGGCAGTGTGGGTGGGGTGTGATTGATGCCAGGTTAAAGGGCGCGCAGCTGACGGGCGGCCGCTCTTCAGACAAGCTAAGTGGTGTGAATTCATGCTTTAAGGCATGATGACTTAGCTTTACTAAACGCTCACTTAAGTGCCGTTGAATCAGCAGCACGTGTGTATTAGGCGATTCAGCTCGATTTAAGTCATCTGCAAGCTGATCACCGGGCTGCCCCCTGTCTGACTCGCCTGCAGCTGGTGGTAGAGTGAGGACGAGCCCGTCAGCCGGTGGGAGGACTCGAGCGTCAGCTCGGGCCCGCAGGAGAGCGCGTCGGGCGAGAGGGTGGCCGAGCGGCGCGCGTCCACCGGGCTGGCCGGCACGCTGAGCGCCTCCAGCAGCAGGTGCCGGCGCTCGGCGGCCAGCGCCGGCAGCCGCAGCGGCTCCAGCAGCCGGCGCTCGGCCGGCGAGGCCGAGAGCCGGTCGCGCCGCGCCGGCCGCGTCCGGCCAGTCCGGCGAGCGCGCGCGCTCGGCGGCGGTTCGCGGCCGCTCCGAGGGCGACTTGGGCGGCTTGCGCGCCTCCGGCGCTGGCTCGGCCGCCAGCCGGGAACGGCAACCGTCTCCACGCTGGGCTGCTCAGAGGAGGTGTCGGTCGGCGCTGCCGGCGGGGGGAGGGGGAGGGGTCAGCGCGCCGGCGGGAGACCGCGCCGGCGGCGACGAAGGCTGAGGTCTTCTCGGCTGGAAACAGTCGAAGCCAAAGTAAATGTAAAAAGCGCGCCGAAACGCATGATTTGTTGGCAGGGTATTTTGGTGGGATGTTGGCGCGACGCCAGAGTAACCAATTGCCTTCCTCTCGCAGATGAGATGTGAGACGCGATTTAATACCCCCATGCATCTCACCCCACTCTGGCAGCGTCCCGAAAATCCGACACGGCCAGGCCCGACGCCTCCGCACGCTCGCCGAATCAGTTTGTCAAATGCAACGTAAACACCGAGTGGCGGCGCTCGTGGCCCCGTCTGGACGGGTCTAGTCTGAGGAGCTGGCGCCGGGCCTCGGCCACCCACGCGCCGTCTGCGCTGGTGGCGCCTCTCGCCACGTGCGCCCTGGACGCAGCCGCCGCCCGGTTCTGAGGCGCTACCGGACATGAAGGCGGCCAGCCGGCGCCGCCGGCGGTCATGTGATAGCCATTGTTTGACGTCACCGGCAGGCAGAAATACGGCTCGAGCCGGCCGCCCTGCCAAGAGTCTGTCCGTGTCTTCTCCGGGGACGGGCGGGTGTGGAGTTGAACTGTATGCCAGGGCTCAGCGATTGGCAACTTCGGAAGAACGAGGCTAGCAGAAGCGGCCTAAAACAAGATATTCCCGGGAGAGACAGAGAGTGTTCACTCTTCCGAAAAATTACTGTGGTTGGTCCCCAAGAAAAGCCGAAGGCGGCCGGTTGCGTTACCGGTGATGACCAGTGAGACGCAGCGTCGGATCCATAGGTGGCGGGGAGAAGGGGTGGGGCACGGGACCATGGGCCCTTTGGGCTCCGGAGAGATCATACCGGCCGAACAGACACAACTTTTTAACATAAAATGCATCAAAATTCGACACCTTTGGGCTTCCATTCACCCATGAACAGTCGCAGGCAAAAGTAAAGGCCCCATGATCATACGAAAGTAATTATTCGCTGATTTAGAGGGTGGTGATTGGAAGGTTTCAAGGCCCATTACGCTATCCAGAGACCCTGCGCTGTTGTTGGGTTCCTATATCGCCACTCGCCGGATCAATCCCGCCACAGAAGAGCCACGTTACCTTCAATTCGTTCGCATTTGCTCGGAGGGCCCTACACCGCTGTTGGGGCCTCTTATGTGAGCCTGCCGAGGCGCCCTCGATCGATCAAGGGCCCTAAATTATTCCCCGAATTCTCCTCATTCATCCGAAGGGCTTTGCACGCTATTACCGGGGGGTCACATTTGTAAGCCTTTCGGGGTACTCTCGGTTGCTCAGGGGCCCTTCACATTGCTCCCAGGCTCTTCCCATTGTCTCGGAGGGCTCTATGGTGTTGCTGGGACCCACAGAAATTAAGATATTGAAGCACTTTATGCTCAGGGGTCCTCTTCAATAACC